GGGATGGATGGTGATGGTGGAGCAGGTTGGTGAGCTAGGAGGGGGCCTGATTATGGAGCGCTTTGTGAGTGAGGAGAAGGATTTTGTTTTGGATCCGTTGTTGGATGGGGAGCCAGTGGAGTTTCCATAGAACAGGGGTGATGTGGTTACAAGAGTGGGTGAGCAGTCGAGCAGCAGAGTTTGGGATGTACTGGAGTTTATTATTTAGGATCTTGGATGATGTGCCATTAGGCCACACTCTCTGAAATCGCGTGCAATAATTTTCGGTGCTGCGATATTAATTTTACATATTACGATAAATCGTCCCCAACATTTAAGTTGATCGCTTGTGGAAAGCGGCTTGTGCAGCGCGCGCACACAGACGCAGAGCAGACACCGACATGTGAAGAGAAGCAGTGAACCCAACTAAGCTAAAATCTCACCTAAAACAACAACCACCCCGCTCGGTCTTTAACCTGAACTAGTGTCGGTTCCTCCGGACTGCTCGTTCGCCTCTTAGGGCGGGGGGAACCCCGTCCCCGGACCGCCGTCCTGTGTTTCTCTGGGGCCGGCCGATTATTAGCGGCACCGGGCCGCCCCGTCTCTCCCTGTCTCTCCCTGCAGCCGCGCGTTAAACCCCCCGGCTGCCGCGGCGCGCCTTTCCGCTGGACACAATTTCTGGAACCCTCCCGCATCGCACCAAGCCCGCGCCCCGTGTCCCTTGCACTTATTATTTTATTTGTATAGGATATATTTTTTCACATTCCGATTCTAATGTCGAACCATTCTGACAAATAAAACGTTCTATGTTCTTTGAAATAGTGTACTTTTATTGCTGTGCTATTATATGGTCTTTGTTATCAGTGGCATTAAATGGTCTAGAAATTGCAATAATATCGCAATAAATGTTGGTGCAATAATCGCACAACAAAAATTTGATATTGTGACAACCCTAGACAGAAGCCCACTTCACAAAAAGACAATTTTATAAATAAGCACCTTCACTTTACTATGAAAGCAAAAGATTTTTCATTTTTTTCAGCATTTTTACATTTTCCAAATCTTCTTCTCGTCTTTTTCCAGGTCTTCTTCTCTCCTTAGTCTCACTTTTCTTCTCACGCTCTGCTTCTCTTTTTCTCTTGTCTTGAAATCATCTTTATTTTCTCAAATCCCTGTTTCCAACACTTGTTGGAAACAGGGATTTCTGCTCAGGGATTTCTGCTCACTTGTTCTGCTCATTTTCAAATGTCATTTTCAAAACCCGTTTGACAAATTAGTAGATAAATTAAGAAAATAAGATGGAGAAAGAAAGACTGAAATAGCACGTGACTGTGCTGTAAAGATGGTGGGTTTACTGTTCTTCCAGATGACCCCAGAGTTGGGTCAGCTTTCTAGCTAATAGGGATGGAAGAGGACCTTGGAAGTGGCCCTAATTGCTGAGCGGATGATATCATACATCATTCTCACTCACCACACTAACCACCCTGGCTCCAAACAAAGCCCCCAGACCATATAACAGCACATTAGTTGCTACGCATAACCACTCACATTGAACATTTTTGATTTGGTTGAGCTTCACCCTCTTAGGCCCCCTCGTTCTCAATTCCTCCTTTACCTTCCCATTCCCATGAGTTTGAAGTTCCACACTAATTCCCGTATGCTGCTGTCACAGTAAGGTCACACAAAGTTCTCAAAGCTTCATTGAAGCCTACTTCCCTGCATGATTTTTATCATCGTAAGTCAAATGCAGCTGGATGAGGATCAGAGGCTGCTCCTGTGGAGCTTTCTGAGTGGAGATGTGATGTCCTTTTATTTGACTAACGTACTATGTGTTACAGTAACAATTGAGTGACACACTATTGCAAATGGAAGCAGAGGATCCAAGACGGTCACCTCTAAGAAATATGCAATGCCCGCCAAGAAGGGAAACTTATTCAGCATTGCAGTTTGTAAAACACACAGAATACCCAATCCAACATATCACTACTGACCTGCTATGGAAATATGTGCGTGTGTCAAAAATCCAAGTTTTATTGCTTTTCTTTGGAAATTACTGTAAATGTAGGATTTTAACAGTTAAGACGAATGTTGTTTTAATATAAACCAATTGGCTGAGATGGTATCAGGGTACTTATAGATCTGGGAAGCTGACTGTGGGGATTTTTTCAATAGCCAATTGCAGCGAAACATTAAAATTCACAAAAGTCTGGTACAAAGTTCCATAGTTTGATGATGCAATCAAAAAATGCAATGTAAGTCGCTTTGGATAAAAGTGTCATAAATGACATGTACTTTAATGTAATGATCATGTTTCTGAATTTAAAAAAAAATGCTACCTCTTTCTCAACACTTTGTATAAGTGTTGGTGAGTATTTCATCTCAGAACAAAAGGAATTCAACGTTTCTTCCTTTTATCTATGATTCTCTAAACCTTTGATCACCTTTTGATTAATACTGGCAGTGGTAATATACCCATCCAGTTAACATCCAATCAAGGGCCAGAACCACAACGGCAACATCAAACCTGGCACAGGCACCATTAATGGCGGCCTATTTTAGGCCCTCATTAACAAATTGGCCTTTCACAATTGCTTTCCTCTGTGACTGAGAACATTAGAAAGCTAATCTCAAAATTACTCTGTAGTTCATCCCAGATATTCCAGATGATTGTCTCAATGAAAGAGAACTAACAGATGTGACCTGGATATTGGAGCAATAAAATGGAGCAAAATTGGAAGAAAAATGAGGGAATGACCTCTTGTCTAGTTAGACAATTATCTTATCTGAAAACGAAATGAAAATCATATGCAAGTGATACTATGAAACGTTTTTCCTGTAAGGGAAGACATACTAGCGTTGGTACATTTTGGGAATATTCAAAGCTGGAAACTTTCCATTGGAATTTACGGAAATATTATTGGGAATTAATGGAATAAACTAGTATGTATTTACTAGAATGTATTTACCGCGTCATATATGACAAACAACATTTTGTTATGTCAGAAGCAGACGTGGATGCAAACATTTCTAATACTTTGTTTTTTATTTACATTTTTGACTCAATCCATTTGTGAGAAGAATTATTATTTCACTGAGCAACAAAAACATGAACGTTGAATAAAATAGTGAATTCCCTATGATCACCCCCCCCGCTCCACACACACACACACGTTTTTATCTTTGCGTTTACGTTTCTAGCTGCATCCAGGGTCAAGCTGAGCTGGGCCTGCATAGTCTAAGGTCAAAATTTCCCAAATTCAACATTCCGAAATGTAGCTGGTTTTGAAAATAGCATATTCCTTAAATGTATGGCTACTCCATACTGTTCTCTAAACAGCTTGATGGTACCGGCTTCCCTCCTCCTTCCCCTTCCTTGTATTACCGTGTCCAGCCCCTCTATTGAACTTTCACCTGGCTGCACTTGGCTAGCTCTGTGTTAACGGATCCAGTGAGCTGCGACGTCCCTTCTCCTCTGTCTCCTTTGCAAACTACAGAGCCCTGTGTGTCTTTAAGACCCATCAGCCCAGAGCACACAGACAATTTAGACTCACTTTGGGGCCCAGAAGTAACAGTCATCTTCCTCCAGCAACAAACCACAGTCATTTTTGGTCTTTTAACGCATCTCAGAAACATATGAAACAATATAACTAACAGAGATTTTTAGCTGTTACTTATAAAAACGATGATAAACACACCTACGTTTGTTATAGATCAGCCCCCCGGTGTTGCTACAGATCTGTGAGAATCTTGACCCTCATAAAGCTGCCCGCCTGCTGCTGTGACCCCAAGCTCTCGGAATCCTTCACAAAACAGGTGCGGCGGCCTAAAGAGCTGCTCATTAACGCAGCAGATTTCACAAGCACCGCCACACGGTCATTACGTCCTAAAACAGCACGTGTGAAACAACACATTATCACCCAATTAAAAACGACCCTGCGTCGGGCGCCTGGTCTCGTTCCACTGCAGGCTTTCTCCTTGATCGCCACCCTGCATGTGACACACGTAGCAATAATGTCTTTAAAGTTGTGAATTCACAAATAGACTGTTTTATTGGGTTCCTTTTTAAGAACAAGGACAGTACATGTATGGGAGCATATGTTTACGTTTTTAGTGTGTACAGTTGAGTCGGTGAGCATGCTTGAATTTAGGCATGTTAAACTGTCCCAGCCTGCACCAAGCAAAACACACACACACACACATTATGTCAGCCTGGAAAGCAGAACTCATCGTAGCTCTGGAATACCACATGCATGTTTGTCAGTAAAGATAAAACTACATCCGGTCCCATGCAGGTCAAGCCTACACATTTAAGCTTTTTCCTTTGACAGGAATCACCTCTTGACCCGTGGCCGTGCACATCGGAGCCCATTTTCTGTCTCCTTTCCCCTGTAATGAAAAGCAGAGGCCTGCTCTGTCGTCAGCTGGTAATAACACAGCATTAGGTCCACATGGCTCGCTGATAGACTCCCCGCTACACATTACAACCGTTTCATCTACACCAGCGGATGTGCAATGCCATCACCTGGTTTAAGATTGAAAACTCTTAAAGCCGTGTGTGTCTGTGTGCGGTGTTTTACATTGGGGTGTGGCTTCAAATGTTTTTATTTCATGAGTATTATCATTTGAGCCAGATGTTTACCAGTCATTCATTTTTTGCTTGTCTTGGATGAAGAGCACATCCAGCTCTTGTTGTTTTATTTTTCGGTACATTCCATTGGTGCAGAAGGTTTTGGCGAGTGCAGCGCGTCTATTGTTGTAGTTACGTGTTAGGAGATATTTGCATTTGCCAGTTGAACTATTATCAAGTTCACCACTTTTGAAGTTTTTGTAAGGTTCAAATTCCCAATAAATTGGCGGCCTGTCACATTTCCCGTGTTTTAATCTGTACTTGAGAAGGCTCACTTGCCTTTCTACATTTATTCTTTATTTCTAGATTTCCGATCGATCTAGAGAAATAGCCATTGAGAGTGGTGGTGAGAGATTAGCATACTAATAGTGTCCACCATTTCCTCTGTTTACAGGGTCTGAGTCTCCCCAAGACCCCAGTGTGATAGCTGCCACTTCATGGAACGGCTCTAGTGACGGTAAAGTAAACATGTAAACACACTCAAGCACACAGCAAAACTACAATCGCTGTGACACCATCTGTTTAAAGCAATGAATGATGTTTTATCAGTGTAATTAACACATTGTGCGTTGAACTGTGACCCCCCCAACACGTCTGAAATGAAATTCAACAATATACAAAAAATGACACAGTTGTTACGTGAATGTGGTTTGCGGTTTGCTGCTGACCTCACCTGACATTACAATATAACGTCCCACACACTGATTACGACATATTTGAGGATGTACACATCCAACGCTTTGAAGGAACGCAGGGTGCGTGGTGAAGCCGTAACGCGCACATAAACACATCAAAAAATTAACCATCTTTATCTGTTTGCAAATGTGCAAAGTGCTCAAGGTCGATAGGAGTCTCACAGTCCAACGATAGCTTCTAGGTATGACGAGCTGGTAGAAAGATTATTTGAGAACCAGTTAGATTAACTTCACCTGGTCAAAGAAAAATAAACTGGAACAACTACGGACCCTCGGGGACTTGACTGAAGTCACCTATTAAATGGTTGTGTAATCATGTAATAATGTTTTACGTTTTCTTAGTCCTAATTGCTTGGACGACAACATTTCACAAAGTGCTAACTAGTCCAGGTATAGTCAGCGGAGGTGTGTTTTCCGTTTGCGTCGGAAGCCGTCTAAGCTTCCTGATGTCATCGGGCAGCTCATTCCACCATTTAGGAGCCAAGACGGCAAACAGTGGGGATGTTGTCGAGTGTTTAGCTCCCTGTGAGGGAGCAACAAGCGAATTGGCAGATTCAGAGCGGAGGGAACAAGGGGGGGGGAGCCCGTTATGAACCATTTCCCTGATTAAGCATGCTGACTCACGGAAACGCTGACTTACGGAAAGGGTTCATAAAGGGCGCAAACACTCAGCGAATTGACAATGGCACGACACTAAAGCCTCACGGAGTTGACGGGAGCACGCCTCAAAGTCTGTGAGCGCGCAAGGGTGGAGAACAAGATTTTTTTTATTTTGTGGAAGGGAAGGCTGCATCTCCTGGAGATGCCCAGCTGTTCTCCTGTCAGCACTCCGGGAACAATTCAATTGGATCTGAAATGGTCTCAACAGCGTTATCAATGAAATCTCACCCCCTCGGCTCAGTTTTCTTTCCCGGGCTTGGAGGACCGACATCCGCCTATTCTCCCACAAAGATACCCTGACTTGGAAGGTCCTTAAACAAGAGATTTTATTGAACTTGACCTTTCATTTCTTGTGGTTTGTTTAATTCCTGTCTTGCAAAGCCAAGTCTCCCACAACATCCGTCCCACAGCAGATCCTGTGTGCACAAAAACAGGCATCGTAAAACACACAGGCAAGAACCAAGACTGTAGTTTAGTCAAGATAATGATTATGGTGACCAATCAAGGCTGTTTAAAAAGGTCATAAATACAATGAGTTTGTTGTTTCCAAACAAATCATAGGGACAGCTTTGTTTTTCCGCAGACATGCTGTATTCATACTAGTGTGCATCTGTGTATGTGTGTGTGTCCGTTTGAGTCCCGGCCCATGACTAACATCTGTTTCTTATCTGATGGATGGATGGTGATTGTGCCACCTGTTTTGTCTGCAGGCGAGGAAAGGTTTTGATTGGCCACGCAGACCGCTTTCAGGTACTGCGGCTCTATCAGTGTGCATCAGTAGCAGGAAGTTATCATCCTGACAAAAGGCTCCTTATTGGGCTGAAATCTGGGGTGATGATAGTGTACGGGACTCATTTTCCCCGGGGGCCCTTCTTTCATTCCTCTTTTGTCTTTCTTTGATACACTTTATACGTTTGGCTTTCTTCGCTTCCTCTCCTCTACCTCCTCCTCTGTTGGAGGTTGTCCCAACTTTAATGAAATTCACCTTTAGTCGTTGCTGGCAAGAGTGTTTCTACTCGCTGTGTTTAGTTAGCTGTGCAGCCACTCGGGTTTCTGTAACTGTGTCTTGCTGAGAGCCAGACGGCCTCGTACAGGTTGTCTTGTGCTTGTGTATGCCATTGAATATAGACATGCCGTATATTCAAATACAGAAAGACAATGTGGCTGTTGAGATGAAACGGTATTGTAGAACTCGTGCGGAACGTGTGTAAGTTTGTGTGCGTTGCGGTTGTGTGGGGTGAGCATGTGTTTGTGTTTGTGTGCCTGCGCGTGAGTGTTTGATTGTACAAAGCCACTGCGCGCTGATGACAGGGGAGCATTTAGTCGCCTGCCACATTAAAGGGACAGTCCGCAGCAATGGTTTGAGTTCCACAAGGCTCCCGGTGCAGAATACCGCTACACTCGCCACGAGACAACCACACACAAAGCAGGTTTGTTGCTCAGTCATCGGCAGGACGTCTCTCTCCTCCTCCTCGCCATCTGCCGTCTCTTTCTTCTGCCCCCCCACTGCTCCATGGTCAGTTATTACGTCAGCTAATGAAGCGTGGAGGCCCACAATTCCAAACACAATTTAAGACTAATGAAACAGTGATAGAAATGAATCCGTTCATGTGACCTCCCCGCCTCGGACAAGACATGGCGTCTCTAAAGAGTGGGTCTGTTCTCATCCAATGTACCGTAAATTCCGGACTATGGCGCGCACCTGAATATAAGCCGCACCGCATACATTTGGAACGAAAAAAAAAGATGTGTACATATATAAGCCGCACCGGTCTATAGTGACGCAGAGTTCTTCACCTTGCCGTCTCCAACGTCTCACCATTGATACATTAATGGAAGGTTTACGCGCAGCCGCTCTGTGTCCGTCTCCGACAGCCAGATTGGTTGCCCGTAACTTGCAGAGGTGAAGACTGTGCTTTGACTCTCTGTGAACCTAAAACGGGCTCATTGTCAATGTTGTTCGGCGTATCCACCATTGGCTCTTCTCCATCGAGCGACTCAGCGGTGCTAATTGTATTAGCCTTGCTAGCCAAGTTGACCTTAAAGGTTTGGATACTGTTCAGGCAGTCTGAACCCCGGCGAGTGTGGGCTGTGAGATAAAAACCGGAGGGTTTACCCGGCAGTAAACAAGCTAGCATAATGGCCGGCTAGCGTCGGAACCGCAAACGGCGTTGTGTTCGGGTTCATGACATCATCCGTCGCCGCACACAGCTTGAATTTCACCGACTCCTCCAGGAAGTGCTTCTGGATGACTGTGGCTTCCAGCGCTGCTTCAGGCGGACCAGCAGCCGGTCTGATGACCGGTTTAATAACGTTTAATAACGTGTATTGACGCTGTGGCAGCAGCACGGCGGTGATGACGAGCGGAGCATCCACTTTACATGGCATCTACTCACGCGAATGATTCACTTCGCTTTTGGTGTGAACGCACCATTAGGCCGTAAAAAAATGATACATTAGCCGCACCGCTGTATAAGCCGCAGGGTTCAAAGCGTGGGAAAAAAGTAGCGGCTTATAGTCCGGGATTTCCGGTGTATATATATATATATATATATATATATATAAATTACTTTTTGTTCTTGATGCAGTCAGTTTAATTGTTGAGGTGTCATATAACTGTTGCGCGTACAGATTTTTGAAATAAAAACAGTTTTTTTTATATATCTGAGCGCTCCCATGAGCAGTGGAGTAGAGAAGTGAGTGGACGGGAGAAAAAGAGGTAAAAAAAAGTCCTTAATACTGTCCTGATGTTCAGTTTCGTTCGGAACATCCTGTTGGACGTTTTGCAGTGCTGTGATTTGGTGAGACACGGCTGCACAATGGAGGGAGACTTGTGAGCAGTTTGTAGAGAAAGGAGGACAGAAAGAAGAGGGTGCGAATGGAGTAGAAGTGGTGCTAGTGGTACAGTTGATGGTGGGAGTCATATTGTCACACACTTGTTAAAACCACATCGCTGTATTAAATCAGCGGTTTTGAGGAGGACAACGTGAGTGTGTGTTGACGCGTGAGTGAACACACACACACACACACACACACAGGGGGGGGAATGCATGCCAAGACAAATGTGCCCACTTCTCTTTTTCACAACCACGTCTCTCTCGTTTTACACACCTCATGACAATATGTTCGCTGCTGGCGTCAAATGAGCTGCATGTAAAATCTCAGACACGGTCCATGTTGAGGTAAATGTCTTGCAGATACATACATGTCTAAGGACCTTTAATTGCCCCTTATCTGACAAAAAAAAGCCTAAATGAGTGGTGGAAAAGCTACTCACACATTACACTCAGTAGGACACCATTTGAATTATTGTTTTCTCCTTAACAAAACTATTGCATAATGGTGTTATAATAATCCCTGTGTTATATTAACATGTTTGTCCTGCTGATTCGCAGGTTTATTTTCTGTGATCTTGCTACACTCAGGAATCCTGTATGTTCATGTTAGTAATCAACAAAGGATTTAAAGAGATTAAGAGGGAGCCACTTTGGAAAACACAGCACTGCCCTGTGAGGGACAACCCTTGCTGGGAAGCATGAGATAGTAAAGGTTGAAATGTTTGGGACTCACAGATTGAAGTTTGTCGGACAAGTATTTAAGATTCCTCAGTATTTTTCCACCTCTGTTTGTTTTGGCCAGTTTTCCGTAACCAAGACCATTTCTGCATACCTAAGATTGGTTTTGGGGTTGAAGGCACTTTCCAGAAGTTTAACATTTTTCCTGCAGATTAAACTCTAGGTGGCCCTTGAGATTGGTATTTTTTTTTTTTAGCACCTTGTGGAAAAACGTCTCTTTGAGCTCACAAAAAAGTTTTTTCTTCGTCTTTTTGCCAACAGGTTCTGAGCTCATTACATGGGCTTCTGACCTTCTCATATGAACTCTTACTATGTTGGGAGTGTGTGTATGTGTTGTGTGAGGAGTGCGAGTTAAAAACGTGTCTGATACATGCGGCGTCTCAAAAGTGCTGGCTTTGTACCTTTGCTTTCGGCCTCATGTCTTCTGTCTCCTTTCCGTCTTCTTCTTTCTCAATCATCTGCCCTGTATGCGTCCCCTTCATCCCCCCCCATGCCTCTCTGTCCTTCCAGGGCCGTCCTTCATACGTCTCGAAGCCCCCATGAACAACATCACCACCTCCCTGGGCCACACGGCCGACCTCTTGTGCCGCGTGTCCGGCAACCCGCAGCCCTCCGTGCGCTGGCTGAAGAACGACGCCCCGGTGGTGCAGGAGCCGCGGCGGATCTCTCACCGGTCCATGCCGTACGGGTCCCGCCTCCGCATCCGCAACCTGGACACCACAGACACGGGTTACTTCCAGTGCGTGGCCAGCAACACCCAGGGCACGGTGTCCACGACAGGCGTGCTCTTTGTCAAATTCGGTAAGAGGAGTGAGAGTCGCGATATCGCTTTTACTTCGCTTTTTGGGACAAACAAAGACATATTTCCCACTGCGCTTTGCCTGCTAGAGATCTGGCTCCTTTCAGCAACACTCCAGTGATGCTTGCCTGTTTCTGGCAGTCTGTGCAGAGAAAATCTGGGAGCAATATTGTTTATCCTGTTGTAAAAAGAAATACCCTTGTCCTCTTTTCCAGATCCACTCCCTACACTTCTGGCAGGAAGGCCAACGTGAGTTTATTTCCCTCTATCCATTTTTCTCTTTGTTAGTCTGTAGGTATTCGCTTCCAAGAGTAGGCGTAGGCCTATTTAACATGTGGCCATAATAGGAACACATTTAATTATAGGGAACATCACGACTTGATAGATGTTGGAAAAATGGTTTGAAGAGCGTGTAACAACATTCAGTCTGCGTTGATATTCTGTCTGCTAATACAACTGGAGAATGCTAGTGTTATTATCTGGTACTTCTCATAGTAATACGTTGCCTCTTTGCATAGAACATAGACACTCAGCTGGCTGTGTGGTGGTTGGCCGGTTTGCCGATCATAAAAAAAAAAGATCCAAAACACACTGTACAGCATCTATAATACAGCTTAGCATTGGACAAATTGGGTTATTGTACATTAAGGCAACTCTAATCAGAAATCACAGCAATGCTAAATTACAACAAATTCAAAACCTGTGCCATTCATTTAGTTAGTTTAGGGCAATAATGAGACATTCACTGAGCTTTAATGAGGTTACTATAATTAAGTTAATGTCTTTATCTACTAGCAAGTGCCTGCTCATAATGGATATCTGACCATTTCTAAATCAATTCATACACTTTGAGCATGTGTGAGTGCTGCGTTTCCAACATCTGTTCCTACCGTACTTTTGTTTACATGTTTTAGATTATTCTTTTTCCGTGTTAAACTGCAGCTTTAACAGCTTTAAATTAAAGCTTATGTCGACTCATGCAAGAATCACAATGCAATATTCCCAAGCCAGTAACCGAACACATGGAAAAATCAAACACGCTGGTCTAAAAGAAAAAACACTTGACACCGTGGAAATAAACTAAGATGCAGAAATAAACGTTCATTAGAAAGGGGGGGGATGTGGATTTAAAAAATGTCTTCTTTTGTACATGCACACAAATAAGTTAGTGTTTTCATCACTCCTTTAGTTGGAGTTAGTACCGTGTAAATCCCCACGGTGCCACATTTTCAGGATTGCTTTAATCTTTGCATCGTAAAGATTCAATGTCTTCAAGGTACAGCTTAAACGCAGCAAACACTCAATTGCCCATTGCAAGTTGGAACCGGTTCAGTTCCCTAACACAGGAAAGTGTTGCCAGTCCTCCGAAGAGCAGAATGCGATTTAGAGTCTCCCTCCACCGACTGCCGACTCCATTTAGACGCACGGCGGCCTCCTTCGGCAACGCTGATTGTCACTGCTGCTCATCATCAGCGCTGCGGCCAACTTATAGGCTGTAAAGTAGAGTGGCAGGCCGTCAAGGAGACAGGGTCACCTAATAATGACATGCGATGACCTGCGACCGCTTACCTCACACTGCAGCTGTTCAAACGTCAAAAATCTCTGCTCCTTCACTCAAAATCTTTGACACACATCTGGTCCAGAAGCCTGTCAGTTTACGTGAAATATATATAGTCCTTTTTTGGAACTTCCCACCCGACCCCATCCTCTCTGTGTAAGAGAGCCTTACTGAGAGCTCAATGAGCTCAGTTTTCTGGGGAGAAATTAGCCACAAATATTACTCACAAATTGGGAGGGGATTTCTTGCCACCCACCTTGTTGAACCTCAGCATAACATGAACGTTGAGTTGTCAGTGTTGTCTTTGCATGGGTCTGTGCTCTAATTTCCATCCCCTCTGCGCTGGACTGAAGTACACACTTTGCGGCGTGTGTTTGCGTTGTGTGTATCGTCGGCGTCGGGTTTATGAGAGAAGCCGCATGGCAAGCGGAGAGCTGACAGCCCTCGAGGTTTAAGCTACGATTGCGGCGGCTCGTTTCCGATGTGGCGGCTCAAGAGTCGAAAGCTGCAGCGCAGCAGATCAGATATAAATACATACGGGAGAATGAAGAAAGGTTTTGGGGCTTCAATCTAGCGTTCTGTTCTTACAGTTTAAGATGTTCATGTTTTCCATCCACAGATCTTATTTAAAGGCTTTAAAATCATGTCCTTTTAAAGCCTCCATTGCTGAAGTTTTTATTATAAACTAGGAGGAAAGGTCTGTGCCGTCTTTTTTAAATATATTTGTAATTCTGCACATCAAACCTTAGAAGCAATACCACGTATTGTTAAGTCTTAATCAAATGAATAGTTTACACCTTTGGAGCTGTGTTTATTCATGTTATGTAAGAGGATTGATGAGATGAATGTGTAAATCCCAGTCTGGCTTTTTGCACACAAATCTAAATCCTTATACGAGCCCCTTTTTTAAGGTTCACATTTGAAGACGTCTCATTTGTGTAATCCACACAAGTGTAGAAATGACACGATGTGGTTGCGTGCTAAATCTCACGCCCAAAGTCACATCTCAAGAAGTCCACGTTTGACGTCTTGCATCTAGAGTTCTTGATCAAGTCGGTCCTTTTCTCATGGTCGAATGCATCAGTATGCCATCAGTTATCTCCAAATAGAGGGAGTTCAGTGCATCTCCTCTACACTGTGCCCATGCCCTCCCTCCATATTTCCCCTTTCCCTTCCCACCTCCCACCCTCCCTGGAGATGCTTTAACAGAGCCAGCATAAACACAGGGTGAGGAGGAAAAAAGTCTCGCCTGCCAAAAGTAGCCCCCCAACTTTCACCGTTTCCCTCTCTGTACGCTGCCACACTTCCTTCATATGCAGAAAAAAAAGAGGACGGATGGCGGCAGAGTGAAGGGAGTGAAAGCAAAACAGTGTTAGCAGGGTGGGGGGTGGGGGGAGGGGGGGGGATGGTGCCATTAACACTCGGGCGTTGCGTGTTGCTCTTTGCTTCACGGGTTCTTTGGCTCGGCGGCGTTCAGGTGTGATTAGCTGCGTTGAGCCGACGGGAGGTTTAGTTCAGATCGGAGGCCAGTAATAACTCTTAACGGGGTCCTGCAACGCCGGACAGTCGCAGACGGAGCAGCCTGGGACTGTCTGAGACACAATTACACACTCACTCCATCATCGCTCTTTTCTTTCTGACTTAGTACTTTTTTTTCCTGCATGATTTAATTCAATTTTCATGTTGGGCAGGACTCAACTGCAATGTATGGAAATTCCTCCCAATTTGAAATAGAAATTCCTTTTGAAAATATAGTATGTATTTATATTTTGTTATTATATAATAACAGATCGGGGTTTTTTTCAACTTTTATTTCCGAAATACAGCGGATTTTGCTTTTCTAAAGATGTTGATTTACTGCATACGTGTGTTTTTTTAATCTGACAGCAGGGATAAACAGACGTTCGCACAGTGCTGATCCTTATGTCTGTGTTTATAATAAAGAGGTTTTCTCCCCGTAGGAAAAGATTAATACCACTACACTGTGACTGTCAAGGCTGTTTACATTTCAAACCTTTCCCTACCGTTTTTCACTCAGCACTAGCAAAAAAAGCAGTTACAAAAATAACTATTCTTTCTTAGAATCTTGCTTTTCCCTGGGCCGAGCCGCTCTGCTCTCTCCTTCGTCTACTTTGTCCTAGAAAATAAGGAAGACAGGTTCAACAATGAACCCATTTTCCCCTCAGCAGTATTTTTCTGGCTTCTTTTTGTCACGTCATTTGCTTCAACGTATCACCACCTTTTTGTATAACGGCGATTGACAGTATTTGGTGGAAAAGTTCTTTGCTGTTGTTCTCTTCATTTTTTTTTAAACAATATTTTACTCTCATAAGTCAATTCAAACCACCGCTGACTGTAAATCCAGCAATTACGCGTGCATGAAAGAGCTGGTTTGTTAATTGTTATGTCTTAGGCTACTTCTGCAGTACAGTGAGACCTTTATCTGCTTTTTGTAAGCTTGCAATTAATACCTCAGTTAAGATTCTGTTTGGATGTAAATTAACGATTCCCGGTGATTGCTCTAATCAGGCCTGTCCGTGTGTTTACACTATGAAACAGTGTAAACACACATACGCTGTCATTTCTCCTGGAACTTGTGTGTGTGTATATATATATATATATATATATATATATATATATATATATATACACACATATGGGGTGAAAAAGGATGAAGTGTTGAATACTTATTTTACACGCCGTGTATCTGCGTGTGTGCGTCGTCTCTGTAATTAGCCAGCTGTCAACACACGTATTAAATCGAGGTCAGAGCAGACGTGACAGTGACCTTGAGGCCTGCGCCTCAACCCCCCCCGACCCTCCCTGCAACCCAATTATACACTGAAAGCATCTACAGGACTGTAGCCCGCGTGCCTCACCTGCAGCGGTGCGAGGGTTTGATTGACAAATTGGTTTTAGGAAGTAGTTTGTGTCATGTGTAATGACTTGAAGATGTCACACTGCATTGATCTCAAAGCTTGTTTTAAAGCATTAGGCGCTGAAATACGTGTAATCAGTTACTGATGCCCTGATTTGCTCTGAGCTACGTCTTGTAAGACCCCTCACTAGTTCTGGACAAATGGGTAAGCCGGCAATCTGACTGTGTGGCACAAATATGAGACGACTTATCAATATAATGTGTGTTTCACAGCTACACATTGAACATGTGTCTTAAGTTTAATCCGCAACTAATCACATGCTTTTTATTTAGAAAATAAACTGGTTTTGCACGCCGTTGTAAGTTGCAAGTATCTTAATATTTACATGAGACTTTGCGTTAATCTTCCGTAATTATGTCAGTTCCCCCAAAAAATGAAATAATAAACAAGAAAAAACTTGGTGCCAATTTGAACTTGACTGTTTCCAGTCTTTATGCTATAAAGTCCAGACTAACCAGCTGCAGGCTGCAGCTTCATATGTAGCACATGCTTTAAGAGTGTTTGGCAAACGATAGTAAAGCGCTGTTGTGTCCTTATTGTGCAGAAGCTGAACTGAGGCAAAAAAAGTTTAATTTAGTACCAAAATTCCTGCTCAAGGGCTCTTGAAGAGACCACTGTTTAAAAGCAGGTCTCCTCTCACTCTGCAGGCCTGCTGCAGTCTGCCTGCGCAGTGCGGTGTTGTTTTTTGGTCACAATAGGCTCTTAAGCCGGACTGAGAACCTGCGTGCGCCGTGTTGAGGAACTTTGTGTTT